GTGGATTTGCCTCCTTCGAGTCTACTCTGAAATTGCATGCGTGTATGGGAACGTGTGAATTCGTTGTGGATTGAAGTTCAATCGGGTATATAACATGAGAAAGTAGAACTGGCAAGGATAGGGGGGTGCAGACAATGTGATGGGTATTCAAGAAATTTGAACTGGTGTCAGAAGGCTGTGCTGCAAAAATCAGCAATTACAGTGGCGGCGTGCAAATTAGTGCAAATTAGTGCAAATTACAGGACCAGAGCACTGATTTCCCCTTAGATTAAATGAAAGGCAAACATATGATTTGCCCCTATAACTTGCAATAATTTGCATGCTGCGCCTGTAATTTCTGATATTTGTGGCTTGCCCTTCTGATGCCCGGGACTGTGTGGCAGGCCCCTGTCAATGGGCACACAATTTGAACCATGCCCCTGGTGCTTGCACTATGGTACATGATTGCCAGAAGTACCAGGGCATCTGAGAAAGTTGAACTTGCAAGGATAGGAGGCCCAGACAATGTGATGAGTATTCTAGAAATTTGAACTGGCGTCAGAAGGCTGTGCTGCAGAGATCAGCAATTACAGTGGCGGAGTGCAAATTACAGGGGCAGAGGAGTGATTTCGCCATATATGAAATGTGAGATGGAGCGCTCATTCCTGTCTTGCCAAATTTTACAGCTAGGGCTTTGGGCCCTCCACAAAAGGGTTTCTCTATCAACAAAGAGGAAAGGACCAGAGATTTGATCATCTGAAGTTTGTGACCTTGTAGCAAATGAGTCCTGGTTCAGCACTATCTCTATTCTTTGTCCAGAGGACATATCATGCTATCCTTACACATCTGAAGTTTGTTACCTTGTAGCAAATGAGGAGTCCTGGTTCAGCACTATCTCTATTCTTTGTCTGGAGGACATATCAGACTATCCCTGCACGATTGTGTGCCACCCTTTCAACTGGAGTTTGAATCTGCCTCAGTCTGTAGTATTGCCGAATGTCTGTTTTCCAATTGCATGGATTGCTGTCCATTGTTCTCTGTCGCATGCAAGTTTGGACCTGGTTCTCTCGGTGGAATTGCTGACAAGAGTTTGTTTGATTGTCTTGATTGATGGCTGAATCTTTTGAGTGGAGAGAAGGTTGTTGGTCGAGTAATCGAATTACAGTTCAAGCAAAGTGAGAGGCCGGTGAATGTTCTGTGCAATGGTTATCGCAAGGTTTGGATTCATCACATCATTTGATCGATTCCTTCCCTCCCCTTGCCCAACCCGTTGTTACCACCCCTCCTTGGGGTTTTCCCTCCGCCCTTACAAGACAGTGTTTTGGTGGCGAGACGCAAAGTTCTAAACATTACGCCACCACTACTGGGGAGACTTGCTTTCCCCCGAAGTAGTGACTATGATAAGCTCATACTTTGCCCTGTTGAACTGCCTTGAGGCAGGAATGCTACCTGACCTCCTTATGCTCTGCAGGTCAAGTCTGGACATAATGGTGATTTAGTTGTGGCTAGGGGTAGTCATGGTGGCTAACAGATTGCTTGAACAGTAAGTGACCCGCTGAAACGAGTTCATATAGGTGAGAAATTAGATTAGCACGAAAGGGGATGGTGCCGCTCCGGTTAGCGCAAGCGCGACCGCTAACGCAGTTACCCGAACCTGGCTTCAAGTGGACGGGCGCGGAAGTGCCGAAGTGAATTTCCGAGTTTGAACACGGCTCACGGCGAGAGGGAAAGAACGTGCGCCACGTCACGCCACACCCTAGGGCACGGCACAGGGGAGAGAACGGGGCGAGGAAGAAGGGGAAAGAGAGAAGAGGAGAAGGGAGGAAGGCAATGATGATCCCGACACACGCGACACACTCCAAAAGAGAAAACAATGAGAAAAGAATGATGATGGTAGAGAGAGAGTAAAAGAGGGAAGGGGAGCAACAAGCAAGAGAAAGCTGGGAAGGAGAAAAGACAGAAGGATCAGCGGAAGGTGAACTCCCCAGAGAGAAATCAAGAGGAGGTACAATCACCAAGGAAGGGAAGCACCCCGGTGTCATGAAGAAGGGAGGACAGAAAGGACAGCAGCTGGCGTTCTGAAGCGAAAGGGACAACTTGAAGATGCATCGTCCATTCCACATTTCATGGAGATTTTCTTTATTCGACTCAAATAGCGACAATAGAATTGAATGAGGCATTTTTCCGGATTAAGTAATATAGTGTAAGAGGATTGACGAAAGGGGATTTCACAATCATAGTTTCCAACGAAACAATCTTTTCTGAAATTAGTAATGGGCCGTCGGAGGATTCAAGGACAAGATTTCTTGCAATTATTATAGGTAGTTTTTCAAAGACAATGTAATTTATGTTCAGTCCTGTAGTAAACAAAGACAAAGCGGGAGCAGTTTTGAACTCAATCCTACATCGTATCTCAAAGTGTTCGCTTGGACTGCTGTCTCCGGATACATAGCGGACCAAATTCAAGGGAGCTTTTTTAATGAAGAGGGTGGTTCCATCGCATCGGAGTCCAGTAGATCCACAAATTTCCCTGGGGCGATGGGAGCATACTAGATAGCATCGACGATCTGTAAGGAACGAAGCAGCTTGGAGAACAACTGAGGACAAATAACAGCCTGACCAAAGCTCGACTCCATGATTATTACCACATCAAATACTGTTCACCTTCACGCCTCGCCACTTCAACCACCAGTTCCTTCTCACCACCCATCAAACCCTTGACTTTTCTCACGAACACCGAGGTCACCCCGTGCAGTCTCACTCCTCCAAGAGCCCACCAGTTCCTCCTCACCGCCCATCCAACACCCTCACCTTTCTCACGAACACCTAGGTCTTCCCGCACGGTCTCGCCCCTCCACAGCTTCTTGCCTCCTCAACCACCAAACTTTACCACCAATCATCCAGCCACTCCATCCCATTCTCAGGCGCCCCAGACAACCACCTCTGTTCCACCCCATCAATCTGTTCCCCACCCATCGCTGCCCATCTTTCTGGTCACTCGCACTGACCACTAAGGAATTCCCACCTTTCTCTCGGTCTCCTTGGCATAACCATAAGCTCGTTGTCCAAGCATGTCAGTAATTGAAGGCACACAGACGTCACCAGTCCAAGCATACCGGAATTTGATCTGGAACCATTATACACCTCTCCTATCTCCACTGAACACTTCTACTGAGTAAGCGGCTCCCTTCTGAGCACAGTATCTCAGCATGGTGACATCGTGCATCCAGGCTGCCAGAAGGGCTCTGGCCATTTAGGAAAAAGCCCAATCAGATTCATAACCGAGTACAGAAGAAGCTGCATCCCAGAATTCACACGACCCATCCCAGGCCTCTTCACAAGGAGCGCAGAGAACAACTTTGGGACAAAGAGCGATTGATTTTCTGATGGGCAAAACATGAATAAAGTCTGAAATAATTAAAACCAAGGAAATAATTAAGAATGGAGCGGGCGAAGAAGTGGAGGTGGAAGTGTGGGAATATCTGAAGCAAGATTTACAGTCTTTTAGTGAACTGTATGAAAAGCACGCAGTTCTGTTCAATGTCACGAACAAAAGAACAGGGACTTGCCACTCAATGAAAAAATGAAACGGGTGATGGACAGACTCAGGGAAATGGAAAGCGTACCTGGCTCAGAACCTGCTGTCTCCTATCACAGAAGGGGAAGATATAATCTGATGTGTTGACCCCACCTATACACAGTTCCTGATCTCTCGGACTCACTCAAATGCAAGGGTTCAGTAGTTACTATTCGGCGCTCGAAGCCACTGAGAGAGCCCCAAGCAGAATCCCCGAGAGACAGACAAACGATGCTTCAAAACCGTTTTTGGGTACAATTTGATAACTTGTCAGGAGGTGTGCACAGCTCTGCCCAGAAAAGACTGCAGGATTGCCACAACAATTCCATCATAGACTGGTTACCAGCGAATCCAGACTTCATGGCACCCAACCACGACACGCAGGTAGCATGCCTGGATGTCTCCTTGGGCACACCGCTGAACTTCCCAGAAGCGTGGATTTTCAGGCGGAACGGCCAGCGTATGTCAATCTTCATGTCTACAAAAATCAATCCCTGCTCTTACTGTTGCAGGAGAAACGACATCTGGGAATGAATTGTCCTCAAACCAGTGAAAGAGGGTGGAAGGTGGTACTCAGACAATCAATGCTGGGGGAATGTGACATCAAACCCGGTGTTTGGTACATCAACGGTGCACAGTTCAGAGACTGGATCTCTGACGACAACCTAAAGAACGCAAAATGGATCTGGGTCCTGCCGGGAGAACCCAAACTCAAACCAGTTATTTACCCTCCTTATGCCAGCAGATGGAGGGCAGTGGGGGCAAATCGCATGGAGGATAGAAGCACCAACTTTGTAACGGAACAAGTAATTTTTGAATCAGGACTGCGAAGACGAAAAGCAAAGACTGGAAACAATGAAGGAGATGCACGAACTAGGACAGAATGTGGAAAAAGCCTACCTGGAAAATCAGAGAGCCAGAACAGTCCAAGAGAATAGCACGAAAGGAAGCATAGAGTGCCATAAGCATAACAAGCACAAGTGGAATGACTTAGTGCAAGTGCAACTTACGGTCGTTCTGAAGCACTCATGGCCCTTGCCGTCCCTCTCCTTTCGACATATTCGTTTAGGGCAATGGCCATGAGTGCATCAGAAGGGCCGTAAGTTGTATACGTCCTGTTCATGAATGCATATAACCTATCTTTCCGGTGGGAGGGCGTGTTGTGTCCCGGGGGACACCAGTCCTCTATTTGTGCATGTACGCGTAGTCGCACATTTTTCGATCAAGCCTTCCTAGGAGACCGAAAAGCCAATGGACTGTCACGCAGGATTTTATTGTTGATTAAATGTCGAAAATAAATTAATGCAAAAATAATTGTCCCCTCCCGTTGTGTGCGTCCGACTTGGAGCGAGACCTTTCAATTACGGTCTTCGCCGGACCCCGGTCTTTGGAACCTTTGATTAACTAGGTTCGAAACAACAATTAAAACATGCAAAATTAGAGCAGAAATCAATCTGAATGGGTGCATATCAAAATGCCATTTAGGTATCGAGAACTGTGACATGATCAACAAAAGAGCATTACAACAACATTGTCAACAAGGCAAGTCAAGACTGACTGACTCAGAACAAACGACAAGATGATTAAGGGAAGGTGAGAACTCCTAATAGTCTTCAGTAGTACAGATGAAAATACATGGACAACACTCGTCAAGAGTCCTCACTCATCCTCTCAAATCTCATCCTCTATCTCTCTTTTAACCACTCACCTAGAATGTCTTGAGCCATGTCTAGGTACTTCCTGAGATTGTGGCTTGGTGATATAGAGCCACCTGAAGCCAACAAGTTCCGAAAGGGACCATCCAAGTCCAAAGATTTGGAAGTCAACCATAGTACATAACTCCTCCCACGGTGTAGGAAGATATGGTGTGGAAAAGATCCATCGTCTGAGATGGTCAAACCCTGAGAGTTCAATCACTGCCTCGTAATCATTCTTTGCAGGAGAGACATACCTCTTGGCCAGGTCAGCCAAATCACCCCAGTAAGAACCATCGGTGAGGTAAAAAGGGACTGGAGGCCTAGGGTAGTCAATGTACAACTTTGGACCAAAGTTATGAATCAGCTTTGTGTCCTTCTGAATCACTTCTGCCTTTTTTTCGACATGCCAAGCGGTTCTTGAACCTGGTTCTTCACGCCTGACTCTGCTATTTGCATGAACTTGGTCCTATTCTTTGGCTATTCTTTGACTATCTGCATGAACTTGGTCCTATCCTTGGCTATTTCTGGTTTCTACTTCCCGACGAGATCAGTGGTGACTAGGCAGGAGCAACATGTTGAGAATTGAGGGCGTTTCTTTTCGGATTTTTTCGTTTTTTCACTGGTAGCTGTTTTTCCGGACTCTCGGATGTGACTCAGTTTTCCTCGATAGGATGTAGTCTTTTGTGGGATAGGATGTAGTCTTCTGCGGGTTGTTGTAGGTACTTAACTAAGAAGCAAAGCTGTATGGGCCTTCTCAACTCGCTACGTTATGATCCCTGACGAGGACCGACTGGCAAACAGTCGAAACGCGACGTAGGGTCATGCTGACGCACAAGCTGGGCATTTTGATTGATCAGGATGTTGACGAGAGTCACAGCCTGTTATTTTGCACGATGCTGGTGACTTGATGGGTTACAATTTTTTCAAGCTCTTATTCACTCT